GTGGCAGAAAGCCTAATGTAAAGAATTCGCGCACATTTGGAGCAGTGACTGTTGGTGTAGATAAGACACATTACCACAAATTTCAGACGGAAGGCAAGGAGTATCGTTTAGTAGGCTATTCGTTGGTATCGAAAGCATACAGACTCTACGACAAGGAAAAACGGCAAATTGTAGAAAAACGCCATGTTTTGTTTGACGAATCATTCTATGCAGCTGAGGTACCAGACCAGATTACGTTTGAAGCAACAACAAAAAGTTCACCGAAAGATGCGACAGACCATGATATCGTAGTACTTAATCCGGGTATTGATGACGATTAGCAGCAGGAAGATAGTTGCAGCGACATCGAGAGCGAAGAATATGCTAGTGCAGAAGAAGCAGAGCTCTAGCAAAAGCAACTTGGAAAGATTGGACCAGGCAGGTCGAAACTAGAGCTAACAGGTAAGGACGTCCAAAGAAGTTTTTCAAAGGTGTTCACAAAAATTTGTTTAAATTATAGCGAAAAATTGTCACCAGTGTGTCGTTATGAATCTATACGTTTGACTTTAGCTTTGTCTGTTCAGTTGAAGCGTTGTTTGTACCAAATGGACTCTTTCACGGCTTGCCTTAACAGTGAGTTAAATGACGTAGTCTACATGAAGCTGCCTAAAGGTGTTAAGGCTCAATAAAGCGGTTTACGGTTTAAAGTAAGCCGGAAGGGAGTCGAACATAGTACTATGTGAAATTGGGTTCACTCAATGCAAGAACGAATCGTGCTTATAAAAGCAAGACATACAAGGTAGTCTTTGTTTGATACTGATTTATTTAGATAATTTGCTTTTAGCGTGCCAGAAGAAGGCAGACTTGATACGAGTTAAATCAATGATTGCAACTAATTTCGAATGTGTGGACAAGGGTCCCATGCAGACATTTTTGGGCATGCAGATTCAACGCGATGGTGAGATAGGCAATATATCGTTAAATCAGTCATTATGTATTAAGGATATGCTACAACGACATAACATGCAACAATGTAGGTTTGCATCGACACCGTTAGGCATAGGTTTTCAAGTAACGTGCGATATTTTGAATTGCGTGGTTGAAAATCCACCACCGATTCAATCAGCAATAGGCGAGTTAATGTGGCTACCTCTGACTTCAAGGCCATTCGGTTATAAAGTTGGCACGAATAAACAACAATCCCCATGGTGACCATGTCAAGGGCGTGCAGCACGTAATGGGGTACTTAGCAGCTACGAAGGACATGTGTCTTTATTATTATGCATGCGACCAAGGACTTGAAGGCTACGTGGATGCAAATTGGGGAGGTGATACGACCAACCGACGATCATATTCAGGATTCGTCTTTTTCATGGCAGGTTCCCCGTTTTCTTGGCAGTCAGAGAAGCAAGGTTGTGTGGCTTTAAGCAGTACAGAAGCCGAGTACATGGCACTATCTTCGGCTGCGAAAGAAGCTTTGCATTTGAAGCGCTTCATGATCGAGATTGGTTGCGGTGAAATGAATACATCAACACTCATTTATGGTGATAATCTCAGCGCCCAAAATCTTTGTTTTTGTTTTCACCACACATTTTTGGTGAATTTTTTGTGGCTCACTCTTACTGAATACCGAAATCATCTCAAGTCACAAAAATAGTCACTAATTGCTAGTCTCACATTTAGTAACTTGAGATGTAAATGAGTTACTAAATCCCAGGGTAAAAGTAAATGAAAGCTTACACCACCCATAACAATATCCAAAAACGGATTTTTAGCCTATAGATTTGGTTTAAAATTTAGTAAAATTCGATCAAATAATGAAATTCTTCAGGAAAGTTATAGTATATTACTGTTTTTTG